TAATTCTTTTCTGATGTGGAAGATCAGTCAAAGCTGCAACCACAGAGCATACTGAGAATTATAATTACCAGATCACCCGACTCTGCACCTTGGCTCTGATACCACTTGTTAGGCCCCCACTGCAAATAAATGGAAAGAAAAGAAAAGAGAGCACACAAATTTTTAACGTGGTTCGGCACCTCAAGACCTACTCCACGACCCCCTCTGGGATAAAATCTCACTAGTAATTTTTGCACGGAAAAATTACAAACCCTCTCCAATATTTGACACTCACAACCTAAAATCTAATACACAATTATATAGATTGAAGGATTGTGTTGTGTGATGGAAGCCTATATCTCCTCTTTATTTATAGGCTCCAATCCCTACTCAATTTTCCTATCCCACCGATGTGGGACTTTGAAGTAACACTCAACACTCCCTACCCTGGCAGTATACTGCCCATTTCTCATTTTCCTTCTTGGGACGTCCCAAATTTGATAGAAAAATGATTGGTTCACATTATTCATATCTTTTTCAGGATAAATTACAACCATACAATTTTAGATTTCCCCTTTTTTGCTGGGAGTAATCAGTAGGAGAATTACTTACTGAATGAATCTTCATCATAGATTAAAGACAGTTTCACCTCGTCCCCACTCTCTACATGTGGTGATATGCTCGATAATAATGTTCAATTCCACAAATCGATTTCTTATCTGATTTAAATTTCATAAAGTGCTTGGGAAGATGAAGGTTCGAGCATCATAAATTCATAATGAACAAGATTGAAATCGAACTGGTAAAATGAGGTCAAATTGATCACAGCAAGTAAGGTTGAGAGAAAACGAAAGACCTAGGAAAGCCGCGGCTGAGGTCGAGCTGAGCATCGCCGGGGCCGAACTCTCCGCCGTCAGGCGCCGCCTCAATAACCTGTCCGAAGTCTCGGAAGGTCTCGGGAGTAGCTTCGATGGGGTTCAGCCTCCACACAGCCGGAGAAGGTTTGGTTTCGGTTGAGGCCTCCATTGTCACAAATCACAACGGTATCCTTTGTATATACTCCCTCCGTCCAAAAATAAAGTTCTATTTACAAAGTCAAACTTTATTCACTTTGTTAGCCTATTTTTGTGTCTTATTTGATAAAATAATATAGTCATGTCACCTCTAGTTTTGTAGATCTTTTCATGTAATTTTAAAATATGTAATTTTTATTTTTTAATTCTATACCATTTTTCATATAAAATGATTTGAAAATAATTTCAGTCAAATATCGTAACGCGCAATGGGAAGTTTATTTGTGAACGGAGGGAGTATATCTTTTAATATAATATTTGAGAGTTGATAGCCTAGAATGATGACACGTGTCAATTTTAGAGCTTTATTATTGAGACACATCAGATTACACGCGTCCTCTACTCAAACCGTTCTAGGCTAAAGACTTTCGGATCTAAGAAAATCCCGTCCACTTCTAATCTCCACGCGCAGAAACTTTCATCGCATCAACTCACCCATCGCGGCTGATTCTTTTCCAAAAATATCACAGATTTTTCGTGTGATCTCTTCGCCGAAGGAAAGGAATTGTATAGCTACTCTATCAATGAAGAAAAGTCTCCAATTTTGTGAAAAAAGGTATTTCTGATCTAAAATTTTTGAAGCGTCAAAACGAGGTATGTTTTAAGAATCGAGAGGAATTAATTTTACATCGGTTAGAATGGTACCGATTAGAATTATACCGAATTAATTCTTTAATCTTTGTTCAAGCTCGGTTAGAATGGTACCGAGAATTCCAAACCTCCATGCCTTGAAGCTGAAATTGGAGCAAAAAACTGTTCATGTGCACTGCACAAATGATATGCTTTTGCTCTCAATGCAGAAGCTGATTGGTTTCTCTTTGCAGTATTTGTGTTAGGAGTAATATTTTTTGGTGTGTTATTTCCCATATATTATTGCAACAATATGTTTGAGTACATTGATTCTGCTGATAAACGGACATGTAAGTCGAAAAATCATTGTGCATCTTATAATATTGTAGTTGTAGGCAATTTGTATTTTTTCAAACCTGTGCTATAATTTTATCTTTTGCTTCGTTCCTCTTATAGACCTGTGTATATTCATTGTTTATTATATCCCGATGGGTTGTCGTTGATTCCTTGCTGCGTTAGATCTTCAGGGAAGGAAAGAAATCCCTTTTACAGGTAAAAGATCCAGGTTTATTCCAAATTACACATTGGATGATTTTCCATTCATATATTCGTATACCCCAATGCAATTTTCCCCAATTTTTATTGGAAATTTCTTTCTGTCATATATTCGTGGGTTGATTACTATCGAGATTCTTTCTTCAATTAATTCAAAAAATAAAAAGTGTGATCCAAACCTAATTTATTACATCTTATTTCGTAGTTTTTTCAAATGTGTTTCTATTACAATTGATCTTGGTCAGTTTATAACTTTGTATACTGAATTATGAAAAGGTTAATGCATAGGTGTTTGGGCAGGCTTTCAGCGAGTATTGGAGAAGACGATTAATGGGCGTAACACATGTTGCATGATGCTAGAGCTCCAAGGTTTAAGGCAAGTGTTTTTTAAACTTTTTTTTCCGAAAAAAGTTTAGAAAAATAGACTGGTGATTCATTTTGTTTAGTTCCCCCCCACACACACAAGCTATATACCATATAGAAAATTCAAGATTTAGTGTAAAACGGAAAGAAGGAAACACGGGAACATTCTTCAAGTTTTTTAAATATGTATCAATAATAAGTTTTTAAAAGAAATAATTCAAGGATTAAGTTACTTCAACAGTTTTTGTTATGCACCACTATTCAACAAACCAAGTAATATCCCTCATGGAAGTAGCACCAAGATAGCATATAATCAGGCTTCACTAAATTCAGAAGATAACAATTAATAGTTTTTTGGTAATTAAGTTGAGAAAAAAGTGGCATATATTTCAATTACTATTCAGTTTGCATATAAGTTATCTACCTTAGAACTACAGATTCAATGCAAGTGAATGAAAATCATACTTATCAGGAGTATCTAAGGACATTCGAGCATCATAAATTCATAATGAACAAGATTGAAATCGAACTGGTAAAATGAGGTCAAATTAGTCACAGCAAGTGAGGTTGAGAGAAAACGAAAGACCTAGGAATGCTGTGGCTGAGGTCGAGCTGAGCATCGCCGGGACCGAACTCTCCGCCGTCAGGCGCCGCCTTAATAACCTGTCCGAAGTCTCGGAAGGTCTCCGGAGTAGCTTCGATGGGGTTCAGCCTCCACACAGCCGGAGAAGGTTTGGTTTCGGTTGAGGCCTCCATTGTCACAAATCACAACCGTATGAGGATGATGAGTGGTAATGCTCTAATGAATCATACTCCCTCCGTCCAATAATAAAGTTCCCACTTTCCTTTTTGTGATGTCCACAATTAATGTTTCCATTTCTATTTTAGGCAATAAATTTAAAGTGAAAAGTCTTTTATACCCCTCTCACTTTCACTCACATCACTTACCCCACTACCCACCATAATTAATTCAACCCCCCACATTAAACCCCACCCACTCACATCCACTCATTATTCTATCTCCTCGTTATCTCCTCTCTTCTTCAACCCCTCGTTTTCTCCTCCAACCAGCTCATTCATCTTTTCTCTCGTTCATTCTCTTAGATCTAGATCTTGGATCTCTAATCTTCGTCCTCCCAACTGTTAAGTTGCTCTGTAACACCCCAACCCGCGTGACCCGAATACAAGGGCCAACGGATCGGGTTGTCACTAAATTGGTATTCAGACACAATAATTTTCCAAACCAATTTAAAACATTTAATTCAAAACAATATTTAAAACATTCATCGGAGTAAGTAAAACGGTGCGGAAGCCTTTAAGTATTTAATCAAAATACAACTTTGGGTTCTTACCCTTAAAAACATAATTAATTTAAATGCAATAACTAAACTAGATAGCTCCTCCAGCTAGCATCCATCCACCTCCTTGCCCTTGCTGCCCTCCAGGATATTTCCTTATTCATCATTCATATTACCTACGTGTAACAAATAGGAAAAAAGGCTACACGCTCAGCATTGAAACTAAGTGAGAACGATCTAACGTTTCGACTACGCACATAGACGAACCCACTAGCTCATAACCTCATACAACGTCATGCACACAAGTATACAATATAATATCACATAACAGCCATTAAATAAATTCATGAGTAACAATTCATTACCTTATCTGTCTTCATTCATAGCTTATAACATAATTACAAGGCTAAGACCATACCTCCTTATTTACAACCTTATGTTCGGACTTGGAGCCACTACCTACGGCCATGACTAAGTCTACCTTATTTAGCACCTTATGACACAACACAACCTGATGACCAACGAAGGAGTTCTCCGCTGGGTGGGTGGTACCCCTGTCCCCTTCGGAACGACAGTTCTTGGATCCCATACGTACATTTTAACCCGCAGCCGCCAGATATCAGATCCGCAAGGCTGATCCTATCTATTGACATTTATGCTTATAATCTTACTAAGGCAGTCCTGGAGTTCCCCTAGGCAGCCTAGTCATTTATTTACAACATCTCTATAATTCAGACTTATTCCAACTCAATCTCAATTCCTTATTTACTTCCAAAACACAACAAGAATATATTTAATTATAGCCAGGCATATAACGTTAATCAGTTAATCAATCATACAACTCAATTAGTGGCCTAGTGTCGGGTGTAAACACCTTCCAATTACCGTCATGCAACACGTAAGGTTTCAGAGTCAATTCGGGTTCCAAATCGGGTCAAAGAATCAAATAGTGGAAACTGCAGCTATCGGTACGGTACCCGTCACAGTACCTCAGTACCGTCCGACCGTCTCACATACGTACCGGCAGCAACCGTGAACCAGAGGCGGTAGCTGGGTACCGTTTGGACGGTACCAAGCTACCGTCCGGCATCGAGAGTGTACAGATTCAGCAGATTTCTATCCTATTCCAAATCGTTTGATACATATAACGTTTTTAAAGATTATAATCATGCAAACAACACAATCTAGAGTAAGAATACATACCTGGTCATCCTCGTTCAATCAATTCCAATATTATCATAAGATATAAATAAATCACAATTCAATTATAAACAAATAAACCACGTAATCAATAATACGAAACTACGAACGTGAATTTCAAATCTATATACATAATCCTGCGTTAGATGTGCAAGTTCTGACCACGATTAAACGACGAATTAAAATAAATCAACGGAGTAAATCAACAATGGGGATGACAGCGAAGCGGCAACCGTGACTCTCTGTGTTTCCACCGATGCAGCAGCCAATCACAGCGGCGGCGAGAGGGCGGCGGCGGTTCTGTGTCTCTGTTTTCCGGCGACAGAGCTACCGCAGCACTTCCTCGGCTTCGGCTCTGTTCTGGGTTCCTCTCTTTTCTCCTTTTCCGCTACCCCGTATGTGGTTACTTCCCCAGGCGTGTATGCGTAGGTATGTATATATACACATACGTATTCCGTATCTATTAAGTGGGGAGGGATTTGGGCTATTACCACTACGGGTAGGATTAGGTTTAAGTAATTTATTATTATTATTATTATTATTATTAGGAGAGGGCCTTTGTACAAAGTTAAAACCATGGCCGTACACAATTCGTATGGAGTCTGAAGATTATTATCCTCTCGTTTCTGTAGTCTCAGACACTCCAATCGTCTACGCCAGTGATGGGAATCAGGAGATCGAGCAACTTTCCCCAAATTGCCATGGCAATGAAGGTGAGATTGTGGCAGCCGTGATGCCTGATTCCGAGGAAGAAGACGAACCATCTGAAGCTTTGATGGCCCCAAGCTCTGAGTTCGTGTGTGTTAGAAATCATGCATGTGACAGCTTCCTAAAGCTTATGTTCCCAGGCTGGGATTCACCCAAGTATGAATATCTTTTCCCAATTTACTGCTTGTCTTAACATGTGTTGTTGTTTTGAGCATGCTCCGATGAAGTGTTGTTGTTTACTCTGGAGTATGTTGTTAAATTGTGCACTTCTGGTATCTTACCCCTTCTCGATTACCTCTGAGCAAGTTATGATGAAAAATCTGAGCAAGCTTTTAAGTACTTTTTGGGATATTTTAAGTTTTTAATCATTATCAATCAAATCATCACTATTCTTACTTTATTCACTTTTTCATTTCTTATCACTTTATTTTAATTTAAAGAATGGCAAATTTGGAAAGTCAAGGAAATTTTTACACTTCTTTCAAGTGCGTGCCCGGTCAAACCAGGAACTTTAATCTTGGACGGAGGGAGTATTCTGTTGCAATACTGCTTGCGTATTCTTGTATGATTTTGTTGACACTATGGTGTGTAACTAGAATATTTAGAATACTTTGTTTATGAAATTTACAAGAATATAAATTGTTGCCTATTGGTAATCCAATTACGGGTAGACACGGTACGGTTCCGGGACGGTTTCGGTTCCGGAATCGTCGGTTCCAGTACCGCCACCCCTTGGTACCGGTACCGGACCGGCCGGTACTGGTTCCGGTTCCCGGACCGGCGGTTCCGGTACTGGACCGGCCGGTTTCGGCCACCCCCAATTTTCTTTTTTTTTGTTTTTTATTAAATTTTTAAAGTATAAAATTGTAAATTTGCAATTGTTAAAGGAAAGAATGAAATAAAAAAATCTAAAAATGAAATTGATAAAGGAAAGAATGAAATAAAAAATAAAAATAAAAAAAATTAATAACGGTACCGGAACCGGTACCGCCGGTGCCAGTACTGAAAATGGGTACCGGAACCGGTACCGGAGGGGGCGGTTCCGGTACCGGTTCTCGAAATTGGTGGAACGTCCCGGACGGCGGTGACGGTGGCGGGTACTGGCGGTACCGTTGCTGGTCACGGTACCGTACCGGTACTGTGTCCACCCCTAAATCCAATGGGGAAGGGTAATGGAGGATGGGGGATAAGGTGGAAGTTAAAGACTGTCAGGAATGATTTCCCTGCATGTGTAAACTCATTGCTTTATCTTCCTTTATATGTAAATTTAATATACACTTTCCCAAATAATACCAACCGGAGTTGGCTACTCCGTTTTGGTCTTTATTATTGACTCAAACGGAGTAGGCTAATCCGTGTCATTCATTTAATTATCAAACGGAGTTGCCTACTCCGTTTGAGTATAAAATTTTCGAGTAGAAACGGAGTTGGCTAATCCGTATTGCACTGCTAGGAAAAAATTATCTGACTTACACTGTCAGGAATGATTTATTTTTTTTTACATTTGTTGGTCGTTTGCTCGAAGTTAAAGGGGTAGAAATCATAATTTTCATGAATAGAATACCATAGATGTTCTAAATTGATTCAATGTCATCAGATGATACTCAAATCTAATGGTACTGAATCATTTCCAGTTTTCTTTGTCATGCTTTAATTGTTCGTTTTTAGCTGAATTTTTAAGATCTTTTGTATTTGCTGTTCAAAAAATTGTTCATTTGATAAATAACACTTTTTTACATCTTTATTTCAAAAATTTCTGCATTTGATAAATGACTTAATTACAACTTACAAGTTGCATTTTTTTTAATTTTTTGATGACCATATCTTAAAAGAGGAACGAGCTGTTTGGCAACTTCTGAATCGGTAAGTGCTGAACCAGTAAGAGGTCTGAACCATTAAGTGCTGAACCAGTAAGAGGTCTGAACCATTAAGTGCTGAACCAGTAAGAGGTCTGAACCATTAAGAGCTAGTATACTGCTTAACTATTCAGAGGCAAATGTCTGATCAATTCAGATAAGAGGTTTTAACCATTCAGACTCTGTATAATTCTTAACCATTCGGAGGCAAATCTCTTAACCATTCAGGCATCTGAACCATCAAGAGGTTGAAACAAACAGTCTGAACCATTAAGTGTTGAATCATTCAGACATCTGAACCATTAAGAGGCTGAAACAAACAACCCCGAAGTCTAAAGCTACACTATACACCATCGTGACCCTATTCTAATTAGGGCACCCATGATATTTTATTCTTAAAATTGACCGTTTGTACTTTCTTAAATTTCTCTCCCTAAACTCTCATAGCAATTTCACCCTTATTTAAATCTCCATGCATTCTCCAAACGCTTAGTGATATGCATCCCCTCTTCCCAGCAACCAAGCACCACGTCAGTATCAGCTTTCCCTTCTCCTTTTCTTCTCTTTTTCAGGAGTGTGCATCCTTTTTCCCTCCCCTTTCCCTTCCAATTTTAATATTATTTTTTTACACTTATTCTAATTAAAATAATTAAGCTAAAAATATAAAATACAATAAAAATTTATTAAATTAGAAGTTAAATTGAACATTTCATTAAAATTAAAATAAGGAATACAATAATTGTGTATCTAACAAATACGTTAGTAAAAGTGCGTAAAACAATACACACTAAGAGCACTGGAAATACTCTTGAAGCCCCGGTGCTTCAAAATTTCTCTCTGCCACATCAGCTTTAACTTACCTCACAGATTCATTGGAAATAGGTTTGAAGCCCCGGGGCTTCAAACCTTCATTTTTTACATTTTTAAATATAGATCCTCTAAATTTAAATTAATTTATTATTTAAATTAATCGCGATGAGACTAGTGCATTAAAAAAATTACATTTTTAAAATATATTTTATAAATATTTATAATAAATAATAAATATTTTAGAGAGAAGATAGTGAGAAATGTGTGACAGAAAGATTTTTTAAGGAGAATTTATAGGTTTTTTTTAATTTAGAANTTTGGGGAGGGGTAACGGCTAAAAGGGGGGAAGCCAACGCGTCAAACGAATGACGCAGATGACATTAAGTCGGGGTAATGCCGCAGGGGGCGGTGTTTAACTTCCCCTGGGCATGAAACGCCCACTCACGCCGCTCGGCGTTACATGCATTACCAGTGCTCTGAGCATAAAAAATCAGAAAAGGGGGGCCCGAAGACAACATGGGTGGTCAGAATGGATCTATAGTACTAAGAAATGTGAAAAATATTAAACAAAAAACTACTACAATTCAAAGAAATAGATGAAAGAGTGAAAATGATGAGCGGAGTGATGTGTTTAAATAGTGATTTTTTTAATTTAATTTTTTAAATTTCATTTTAACGGTTAGAATTCAAACAAAAGCTTTGACCGTTTAATATTCATTTTTTGGAGAAGGGAGACACAAGGGAAAACAGGAACGGATCCCACCTTTCCTGTTCCTGCATAGGGGGGCGATGTTCCCCTTCCTACATGCCCAGTCAGCATTCCCGTTGGCCTTCTATGTATGACAGAAGTGATCAAAGAGATTATCGAAGATTAGCCACTAAAGCTATGTTCTTTTCAGAGTTAACTCTTAATTTCTAACATTTTCCAACTCGTTCCAGTTTTTTTTAACTCTTTCCAATTTTTTCATTTTTTTTCTAGTTCCTTCCAACTTCTTCTAATTTCATCCAACACCTTTTATTTTTTCCAACTCTTTCTAGTTTCTTCTAATTTCTTCCAACAATGACTTAAAAAAATTATGGAAAATTTATTCAAAATAATTCCAACTTTTTTCTCACTTTAAAAAATTATTCCACTTTTCACTATGATGCGTAATAAGATAAATTTTACTAACATTTGCGAGTTTTGGGCCGCTGTTAAGTTGCTAACAGCGGGTTAACGGGACAACCTTTTTTTTGCGCAACAAAATGAAAGTTTGGATTATTTTTTATGAATATTCATTTTTTATTTTTATTTTTTGAAATTTTTATTTAAATTTTTAAAATGACTTTCTATTTCAATTTCTTTTTCCTTTTTTAAGATCAGTCTTATCTTATAAAAATAGATATAAAACATCAAAAATGAGAAAAATAACTAAAATCATACTCCCTTCGTCACAATTTAAATTGTCTATTTACTATTCACAAGGTCAAACTTCATTCACTTTCTTCCTCTATTTTCGTTAGTTATTTGATAAAATAATATAGTCATGTCACCATTAGTTTTATAGATCTTTGATCAAGTTTTTAAATATATAGTTTTTATTTTTAAATTGCGTACCATTTTTCATATAAAATGATTTGGAAATAATTTTAGTCAAAAATAAAATTGGGACGGAGGGACTATAAAAATAATGAAATAAATTAGGTAATCAATAAAAATTAAAGTGAAATTGAAAAGAAACAAAATAAAAATATAACGATTTAAGTGCTCTAACATTTTACGCATTATACAGAGCATTAATGCATAACTTATTTTTGAAACAACGGATAAAGTTATAATTATTCTAGATAATTTTCTTAAAAATAAGAAAAAATGATACATTAATGCTCTATATAGTGTGTAAAATGATAAACCTCACCACTTCATATATTTTTATTTTATTTTTTACTAGTTTCAAGTTCATTTCTATTCATTCGTTTATTTTTTCATTAATTTTATATGATTTTAATTATTTTCTCATTTTCATTATTTTTTATATCTATTTTTTATTTTTATCCAAAGTTAGACTAATCTTTAAAAAAAGAATAAAAATGATGGAAGTAGAAAGTCATTTTAAAAGTTTAAATTAAAATTTCAAAAAAATTAAAAAAATAAAATAGATCAAAAATAATTTCAACTTTTATTTTGTTGCACAAAATAAGCGGTTTTCGCTAACTCACTGTTAGTAACTTAACAGCGACCCAAAATTTGCAAATTTAGGATCTAAGGTTGACAATAATTTTAAGACCAGAAAATCGAGGGTACCCGTAATTTTCTGCAAATTCTTATGTGATCTATAAGGTTGACACTCATTTCAAGACCACGTAAAAAACGCACTGCCACAGTAATGAAGAGTAGCATATATGGGATGATGATAATTAACACAACCACAGGATAAAACCCATAACCATAAAACTGCAGAAGTTATATATATTAATTCCTCTATCCCACAATCATAAGATGTTATTCAATTGGGACAGGGAAAGAGTATTAAAATTATCCACACATGAGAAATCATACCACAAACTTAGCAAGAATTGCCTCAACAACTCCCTTAGCTATGGGATGATAACTATCACAGGCCTCCGAAAACACCCTTG